GAATTTAAGCGGACTTATCAAAACCAGGCGGGTTTGTCAGGTCATAATTTTATATATTTACAGAATTTTTAACTCAAACCCACTTTTTGCTTTTTTAACAGTTGGTTTTATCTATAACGCCAGAGTATTTTCATATGGTCGTGCGTTACGCCAGTGCTGTGGAATATTTATTTGGCGAACGTTGGTTGAAATCTAGATAACCAGTTTGACAACAGTGCCCTGAAGGCTTTTACGTACGTTGGCGATTTCTAAAATTATCCTGAAAAATCAACTCGGTATACTTTTTGACGAATCTGTAGATGTCATTTTATGCGTCTTTATAGAGTCAGGGCTTGGGCTTGTCCATTACACATGAGCTACCGTCTCACGACTTACTCCAGTTCTTAGATATCAGACTGATTTTAAGAGAGGATCTTATGTGCTAGAAATTCAACCCTCGCGTGCAAAGAGGTATTTTTCCGTTTGAATCGGCCTATTCAAGAACTGTAAAGCGAGCTAAAGGCAGCGTCTGCGTACTCTCTGCTGTCAGGAAGTCATGCTCACACACAGCCAGGACGCTGCTCCTGAAAATCGAGGGGACTCGGAGAAAGCGAGACGAGCCGCTACAAAGGGCGTGCCAACCATAAGTGGTGCCCTATATACATAAAGTCTCCCACACCCTGAAGAATGTAGCGAGCAGGTAAAATCTGTCTATCGTGTTTTGCGCGCCACGCAAGCTTGCGGGCGCGGAAAACGCGATGGGCACGAGAGGTTTGACGATTTTGTCTGAAAAATAAAAAAAAGAGAAGACACGTGGCCGCAATTAAAAGCATGCCACGCCGTGTGTGGTATGCTACCTCAGTGGCGTATGATTCCGTTAACGTGTTGGAAAGCCAAACGGGACATTTCGTCAATGACCGGCAGAAGAGCATGAGCTGTCGAGAAAAGATATAGGAAATGCGCACTTGCCCATGCATTGTGGGACATGTATGTGTACGCTACGACTTCACGAGACTAGGATCCTCGGCAGGAGTAAAGATATACCGCAAGGAAGCTGATAGAACCGTTTTATATACAAAATAAGGGAAATGTCCGAGTAAGCGACACTTCAGTTTCCTTGTTTAATACTGAATTTCAATTCTTATCTTGGTTGATACAGTGATTTCGGCACGCCGGGGATCTCTCCTGTTTTGTATGTTTTCTTACTCATTTTCTTCCTTTGTAGCATGCTTAGCATGCTCGCTCTGAACCCTTCGCAGTCGCTTGGAGGCGAATAAATCTAATTGAAAGTTGCGCTTGTCCTTGTCCACTCATTCGTGTTTGTTCTTTATGTTTGCGGAACAAGTATGTCCAGTACCTTGTATAGTCCGCACATGTGGATAGTCCGGAAAGTGTAATAGTTGAGTTTGGGATGTCCTTGTGGAATCCCTTCCTGGCCTCCGCTCGCGTCCTGAACGGAACATTTCGAGCTATTATTCCATACTTATTGACTACCACTAGTAATAGTTACAGTTGGTAATACGCCGGTTAAACATGGCTCGTTTATTAGATAATTCAGATACGTTACACTTGGCACGCCGTGCATGTATCCAAGCTACAATTTGCATTGGTTGTTTTCAGTGGAAACAGCTGAAATAGGTTTCGCACATGATCGTACGTAGCTCATACACGAGGAAATGCGTAATAGCAATTTTACTATACCTCCGGCGTTTCATCGAACATTAAGCTTTTGCAGATGCACCGCTCAACCTTGTCTGGATCTTGAGGCCTGGGCAACTTGTCTCGGTCGTGACCTCGCGCAGCCGTCCACCTCAGAGTGCCGACTTTGGAAAGCTAAACTGTTTTGAAAACGTGTCCTTCGTACTGTTCTTTATTGGTTTGGAATCACCCTAACCATGAACTGCTTATCTTTTTAATCTACCTAAACCACTCTCTTGTCGGAGACTGAGTTCCATTATTTCTTCATGGGAAGCTTGTACAAAGGACGGCGTTAGGAAGGACACGGGAAGGTAGTAGTGGTTACAAGTCATTTTGGTACTTTCATAAGTAATATGATTACGCTTGGAATTAATTTTTAATAAATTTATTCTGATGATTGCAAAAGCACTTTAAAAAGTAATCGGTTACATTTAATTTGATTACTTGAATAGGTCTCCGCCAGGATAAGGCCAAAGAGAGAGCAACGGCAGCTGTGAAATCGCCGCTTGTTGAAAGTGTCCGGAGTTTCAGTGAGCCTTAGGTCCGACGCGCGTGGTGTTAAAAAACCAAAATGTTAAACAACGTTCACTATGCTACCTTGATTGTGACATAAAAATGCGACGTCCCAACCATGCAATGTGATGAGTATGCCTGAGACTCAAAACCGATGCCAAGGGCACAGGCTCTGGCTTCTTGAACTCTGAAAAAAATCTGCACGCCTCCTTTCCCGCACATCACTCCATTAGCCAATGAACGCAGCTTACAGAGGCATTTCACCAAATGACGGTGCCAATACATAGGATTGGACAAAATAACGCAGTTTTAGTTTTAAGCAATGCAAGCGTGACGTTTTGCATTGCATAATGTCACAACTCAGACTGCGTTTTTTGGTCTAATCATATTTTCGACATCGTCATTCGCTGAGCTGCTTTCTTAAGTTGCGATGATTAGCTCTCCGAGTGTTCTGCGGCAAAAAGGACGCACGGGCGCTGTTTTAGAATGTGCATCACTTGTCTAGTATTTCATTAGAAAAAATCGAAAATTTGCCTTATAGTAAAAACGTAAGATTCAGTACAACGGCGGCATCATCAACGGACACGAAATCTCTACAAATGTGATAAATCTAAAAATGCAAGAAAGCAACCAATCCTGACTGATCAAACAGAGCATTATCGACATCTGTTATTGCCCACAAAATGGGAACCTCTCTTCCCTTTTTGTTTACTTAGAGTTATTTCCTCGATATCACGAATCAAAATAAATACAACGTAGTCATGGGAGGCGATTTTAATCTCAACATGCTAATTGAAACAACCTGTAAATTAGAATACAATTTCATGCGCTCATTAAAGCGAACGGATGTGAGATTAGGTAAATACTGCAACAAGAACTACGAGTGAATCATCGAAAAAATTGGATTTATTTAATACAAGCACGTATATAAAATCTGGCGTGGTGATAGCTTATATAAGCGATCAGTTGGGTATATTGTTGTGTATAAAGAAAAAGCAAACTGTGATCATAAAACATAATATTCAGTTCGCCATACACTTTCAGATTATAACGCCTGGTAACATTTACGACTTCAGACAGAAAATATCTTGTTTGGATTGGGATGATGTCCTTCATGCAACGAACGCAGATAAAGCATGCGATTTGATCTTAAACAAAAAAGGAAAAGAAGTATATGAAAGCTGTTTTCCGAAACCAAAAATTTAGAACACTGATAAAAAAGGACGGAAACCTTTGTTTACTAAAGAATTACTCACAATTCTTCTTACAAAAAATACGTTATATAAAAAATATGTGAAAACAAAATCAATCGAACAAGTAACCGTTTTCAGACATTATCGAAACAAATTAAACAAAACAAATCTGAAATGCAAAAGAAACCCATTTTTTGTGACTTTTTTCTTTCGTGTAATGACAAAGTCGACGTTGTTTAAAAAAAAACACACACAAAAAAAAACTGAAAACTGTCTTGGGTCGTGTATGTTGCACAAAACAAGTAGAAGGGATCAACCACAATGGTTAAGAGCTCTGAACACAAACATTGTCAAATGCGTTTAATGAGTACTTTACGAGTCTAATTAAAAACGTGAAGAGTAGGATGATTGCAAATATACCAATACTCGAAATAATCAAGCCATGTCTCTTAGCCTGTTAAATGTATCATTTCTTTTGGTGACTGCATCACGACCGCTAGTTAGATGGCTCAGGGACTCGTCAAATTGTTTTGCACAGTTTTTTGTTTTTTTTTATCCTGTCACCTTTTCAGCATGATTTTTTTTTAAAGCAAAAGGTATTATTCTTACAATTATTATTTTAGTAAGTGTTTAAATATATCGGTGTGCCAGCACCAAGACCTTAGGGTGGTTTCTGGGACCCAAATACAATAATGACGAAATAATATTATTATTATTTAATGTTATTATTCTTATCTGTTATTACTATTATTATTATTATTATTATTATATTACTATTGAATATGTTACCATTTCTACCTAAACGGGTTCAGTCACACAATTCCATGTCGGCTTTGACGAACCAGACTGCTTCGTCATGAGTATAGTCCTCGGAAGTAAATGTTGAATTGTATTGAATTATTATTAATATTAATATCATGTCGCAGCAAGAGTTGTTATTCCGATAACGGAAACGTGGATGATTATTTTGTATGCTTCCAAGTTTGAGATGACCAGATTAGTGCCCATGTTTTGCTTGGTACATAAAATTGAGAGATGTTATCGAGTAGTCAATGTTTATATCAGTTCTTAAGTACCTTACTTTCTGGACTATAGTCCAGAACTCTATACGTTTGAAATCTGGCAAATTACCCGTGGTGGACTATCTACGGATGCGGACTATTGATGGACTTGTTCTTAAATATTGTTCAATATGACGAGATATTCCAGATTTTGTACATGTCAGGTTATGTTAATGATGAGTTCTGTATCGTAGAAGCTATTTTTTGTGTGTGCTGATTAAAGTTGCGCTTTTCAAGATGCGTTGCTAATGAGAATTTCACGTGCGAACTATGCGGACTAGAGTTCAAAAAATAACGATAAGCAGCAAGAAAATATTGAACAATATAAAAAAGCGTTTGAAACCAAATGAGCCGCGTAATTCCGTCGAGAAAGAACGACATGCAAAGTAACAATTACGCATATTTATGCACTACGTGTTTTCTTAGTTTTATTTGACATACTTAAAGCTTTTATATCTATAGCGTCAGTGCGCCTCCGCGCCATGAGAGATCCAGGGTTTAAATTGTTGTATTTTATTCACATCGATTTTGATATTGAATTGTTGTTTGCGTTAGGTCACCACATTGTGCATTTGTTTGTAATGTTCATAGTCGAGTTAGGACTGCAGGAGAACACGCGTAAAAAATCTGGAGAATTTCCCATTGGAAGGTTCACCCTGGGGGAAAAAAGCAAATAAAACTGTAACTCTTTTGTAATCTCTGGATGGCAAATTTATTAAGACTGTGCTTCAGAGAAAAGTATGAAAGTATACTTATTAAAAAAATTAAGGCAGTAATTTTTTATCACAAAAAATATTGCAACACAGAAAGCTGAAGGAACTGATTTATCTCATTGAGCAAAAATGACATGATTTAAAGCAACAGCAGGTTTTCTCTTGACTGACTACAAAGTCAACATAAAAAGTGTTACCTTCTTGTCGCCTACGCTCAAATTAAAACCAAACTCCTGCCATGAAAATTTTGCATCATATCATTTCGTAGGTATTTACACAGGTCCACTTATCAATGACTGTCTTAAAATGCTTTGACCATTTTCATTTAACAATAAAATGAAGCACTCTTTAGGTCACGTAGTTTTAACACTCGTGCCACCGAGGTTGCGACCCCCCTATTATAGGTGACTAAAAATATTATGAGAGTTCATGTACAAAAACAAATCAGGCAAGAATATTTAACACAACGAGAATTAAGATGACTTCGTTGTGCACATTTTTATGCTTTATTATACTGGGAACTATATTTTCTTTGTGTCTAGCTTTTATATATTCGAACTCTCCTGCCTTTCTTTTTAATCATAACTTCGCTTTGTACACCCTGTTTGGCCAACGCCAGTGAAACTGTAGTTATTGTTTACCTAAGCTGACAGGGTTGCTGAAGAGACATGCTTGTGGTACTATCAGTGGCATGTCTTTTATCGTTCTCTGTTTACAATCTTTGTCCGTGAATACCCCCGGATACCGTGATCACGATGTGCAAGACGGACGGTTGATTGGTCTAACTAGCACGCCGATTCCAACGTCCTGCCGGGTTAGAGGTATAGGGGAGATGGTAATGCTAGCTCGCTCAACTTTTAACGCCCTCACAAAACGATCAAGCACTCACACAGAGTGGATACAAGTGCTGCGTCGGCGCGCTGCCGCAGCTCGCGTTTAATCATTGTTTCGGTTGACGATCGGGGTCAAAATCGTTGAGTTGATGCTGTCGTTGTGTGATTATGATTCTTAATGAGGAGGCACTGAACAGGGATTAAGGATACTTAGTAACAACTTGCTGTGGTAGTTAGGAATACGTGACAAGCGTTGGTAGTGGCAGCAATGCCAAAAATGCAAGACATACATTGTCAAGGTCGAGCGATTTATAATCTCACCCGCGAACTTTTATTCCTTTAAAGAATATCTTTCATTTAATATTGTAATTATTTTGTGCACGTTATTCATTTAACTTTAAAAAGGCAAACACGTATTTTCCGCACAAATTCATCTCATTGCTATTGAGAAGTTGAGAATCAACTTGTTCCACCGAAGCGCTACTTTAGGGGTCAGATCCTGCGTCTATGGCGACATACTCTATAATTTTTTTTGCTAAATTATTGCGGTCTATGAGCTTCGTAATATTTCTACATATATCGGAACTCTCTAAGTTTGCTAGTGAGGCGTGTGTTTAGTGTATATGACCCATACACAAGGATAGTAAAAGCAAGCCTTTAGATACTGATTTTATTGTGACTACGCAATCAGGATGTATTGAGGTCCTCGTTAAGCTGTCGAACTCACCATTCCTAAAGTAAGCTATAATACGGTATAAGTAAATCCACTCTAACTTTCGCGGGAGGTGTGCAATCAAGAACTCAAGAAGACGTTTGCCAGGCAACACCGACGCGAGAGGGCCGAAGACCTCCTTCGAACAAGGAGTCAAGGCCTAGATGAGAGACACACCAGCTTCGTCTAGGATGCTCTCCGCCTGAACGCTCACGCCGACACTTAAGCCACCGACAAAAAGAAACTGCGTATCCTCATATGAGGTGTGAAGTATGACATTTTCGGTGATCTTATTCGCAACCCTACTTATACCATCGAATATTTTATCACTATGACCATAAACCTGAAACGTGCCCTCCTCGCTAGAGCCAGCCACTACCGTCAACACTCGAGCGTAGCTGCTTCTTCGCTATCGTGCTACGACATCAGTTTCAGCTTCACTGGCATCCGCGACATCATACGTGAAGTCGTCCAGGAAGAGCTGAAGAAGCTGCTGCCCGCTGCCTCAAGCCAGGCACCACTTTCCATCGCCAAAGTAGTGAGAGAGGAGGTTCAACGAGTCATCCAGTCAGAGGCTCCCGTCATCGTGGCCTCTCCCGAAGAGCCATTGGTGACATACACAGCAGAAGCCCGACGGTCGCCGCCGGCTGCTCCCCTCTACCAGGCGCCACTTTGACGAGACGACCCTTCTACGCAGTATCCCCGACGCCAGGAAGATCGAGCACACGTGCGCGGTGAACCTGTTGTGCCAAGAAAAACCGACGTCTGGCGAACGGCTGACCGACGACCTGTGTGCTTCCACTGCGGTGAAGCTGGCCACGTATGTCGACGATGTGCTTACCGTGAAATTGGACTTGGACGGTTCGTGGGAGACGCCCCGTGTCCGAGGTACGGTGTGCGAACGAGGGATATTAATTAGTCCTTGCGGCGGGCACCATCCCCTGGGCAGGCTCCTCCCCGAGGATCCCGCTGGCCGTCCCAGCGCCGTCCCGTATCACCTCCTCGTCGGTCCCGTCGAGAGAGACTCGCCGGAAAGAGCACTGCCCTAGCAGAGATTCTTAGCGAGACGTGCCCTGTAAATTCGTCGTTCAACAAAACTCTCCCAGAGATGTCATTCTCGGCATGGACTTTCTGTGTTAAAACGGCGCCGTGATCGACCATGAACAGAATAAACTGACGCTGTGAACCCCTGTTTTGCCTCCAGAGAAACTCCAAACTCCGAGTCCGAGTCGCTGCCAACCACATGAACCTTCCGCCGCAATCAAATGTTCTTGTACCCGTCGTAACCGATGCAGCTACCGGCGGCGAAGTTGTTCTGGAAGACAACCTTCAATTGCTCCTGGGAAGAGGTATTGGCGTCGCAAGAGGAGTAGTTAAACTTTAAAATGGGCACACTGGGGTACTCGTGATGAACTTCCGACAAGAAACGGAACACCTCACGAAAGGAGCAGCTGTGGGCCACGTCGAGGAGCTCCGGAACTCCACCGAAATCGCCGCGATTACTGAAGAATCATCGCCACTTCAGCAAGTCTGTGCGTCGCCAGCGGTGCCAGGCCGTCGTTTCGGACCTGCAAGCATGACCCTAAGCTTGCAGGTCCGAAACGACGGCAGCGTATTAACCTACGTCGGGGAAGGTACGCCCAATCGCCGTTGCGAAGCACCGCATCGTTACCAAGGACGACGCGGTACCTGTGTATCGATCGCCGTGACGAGTTCCTGTAAAAAAAGCGAGGTAACCCAGGACCAAGTTTAAGAAATGCGGAACGACGACATATTCCAGCATTCAAGCAGTCCGTGGCCTCTTCAGTCGTACTGGCTAAGAAGAAGGACGAAACGCTTAGGTTCTTCGTGGTCTACCGGAAACTGAAGGCGGTGACAAAGAAAGATGTCTACCCACTCCCCCGCATTGACGACACGCTAGACCGGCTGCGACACTCTCGATACTTTTCATAGATGGACCTGAAGAGCGGCTATTGGTAGATCAAAGTTGAAGAACGGGTCTGAGAGAAGACCTATTTCGTCACACCGGATGGGCTGTACGCGTTCAAGCTCTTCCGCTGGCTGGAAAGTTGCTGGCGCCGTGCATAGCCCTTCGGACTATGCACGGCGCCAGCAGCGATTTAGCGTGTCATCGACACCGTACTGACAGAACTGAATTGGAAGAGCTGCCTCGTCTAGCTGAACGATGTCGTAGTGTTTTCCGGCGACTTGGACAAGCACTTACGACGACTAGGAGCTGTTCTCCAAGCCATACGGACCGCCGGACTGTTCCTCAAGCCGTCGAAGTGTCGGTTCGCCTAAGACGAACTGAAGTCCCTAGGTCACGTGGTTAGTAACGAAGGCATTTGTCCAGACCCAGAGAAGACTCGCGCCTTCGCGGCATTTCCAGCGCCGGAAGACGAGAAGGGTGTGCGAAGATTCTTTGGACCATGTGCCTAAGCTCGGCGCGTCATTCAAGATTCGCAAGGATTTCCGCACCGGTCACATACCTCAGGAAGGACGCCGAGAAGTTCAATAGGGCCGAGGAGTAGCAGCAGGCACTCGACGAGCTGAAACGAAGTCTCCAGACTCATCCAGTTCTTGAACACTTCGATATGGATGCGGATACCAAGATTCACACGGACGCTAAAAACGCAAGACATCAAGCGATACTGGTTCAAGTGCAAGGAGGCACCGAGCGAGTCATCGCCTACGCAAGTCGGACACTGTTCAAGGCGGAGATAATTTACTTCACGAGTGAAAAAGAATGTCTTGCGGTCGTCTGGTCAATCACGAAACTTCGTCGGTGGTTGTACGGGAGCCCGTTCTGCATAGTCAAGGACCACCACTTGTTCTGCTCTTTTGCGAACCTCAAGGAGGACCCGTCAGGATGCCTCGCTGGATGGGGTCTCATATTACAAAAGTTCAACATGACTTCGGCCTACAAGTGAGGTCGCAACCACAACGATGTCGACTGCCTATCAAGAGCCCGTCGAAACGCCTTCCGGTAGTAGCGACAGCTATGACGGCTACTGCGTAATAGGCGCAGTGAATACCGATGACATGGCATGACGCATAGGGCATTAATAGAGCATATAGAAGGATAAGGGAGTACCATGCCACGCAGTTTCTCACAAACCCTGTAGACATTCGCATTCAAAAAGTGTACTCCACAAGGAGAACTTTCGGGACAACAACTGGCCGTGGATGCTGGTAATGTCAACCGATCTTCGAGAGAATATCTTTCAAGCCTGCCACGACGACCCGTGTCCGGACACCTTGGCTACAGCCGGATACTGGCGCGTATTCGTGAAAAGTAATACTGCCCCACGCTTCCCAAAACCGTCCACCTCAACACACGATCATGGTACGAGTGCCAGCGACGCAGGAAACCGCAGACGAAGCCGGCAGATCAGCTG